GGCCTAACCGGGATCCTCTGCCCAAACCCTAACCATTACCAACACATACCGAATCAATTCACAGCTTAGCTCTAAACCTTACCCCCACCCCAAAAACAGAAGTTCTCTTCATGGGGACCAGTCATTAGTCCACACAAGTACTTTTAAGTCCCAAAATGCATATTCCTGGGAAATTGTCCCCACCAGGTAACAAAGACATGGCCACACACACACACAGCATATTTTAAATTAAGGTCTTTTGCTGTTTTTTTCATCTTTTTTTGTGTTTGCAGCCAAGCCCCAATCCACAGCCACAGAGAGCAAGTCTATTAGTTGTTCTATGAACAAACCCAACACTGCTCCTTCAGAGAAGACCTCAGCTCGTGGTGAAACTAAGCCTGAACCAGTCGCTCGACTCAGAGCCTCCTCAACCTCCCCAGCAGGGCCAGCAAACCCTAAACCACCTGTGCCACAAGGAGCAAAGCCAGCTCTAGCTGCTCGTCCCACCATCCCCCAGAAACCAAGGACCAGCAGCAGGAGCATAGGTAGGCTGCTGTCAGGGTCCACAGGCTGCAGTCGTTATCTTTCTTGGTCCCTTTATGTCATTTTAAAAATATCCAAACTTAACAATGGGGCCTTTTATTGTGTTAATCTTTCACATAGATGAGAGTTCAGCTTCTCCCAGCAGCGGCCATGTATCTCCTAAAGTTCTCCCCTCCACCCTAAAGAGGGCGCTGTCAGAGAAAGACAAGGGGTCCAATCTGCAGAACACCAACAAAACCACTCAGGACGGTGAGTCACAAAATCGGCTCAAGCTTTTGAATCATCTAAACCCTCATGGTGTTATTCCTCTTAAAACACACACACACACACCATCTAAGTAGCTAAAAGTAAAGTCAGCCTCTTCTGAACAGCTTTAACCGGGATCATCTGATAAGTCTCTTAAAGGTCTTATATCACTGTTGTTCAGTTTGCAAGTACCAGATGTAACACGTGGATCCGGGTCATAGTGTTACCTACTAAAACAGTCAGATTTATGTTGATATGCATCATGAAATGGACCATTTTCTTTTCTTGCATCTTCTCTGATGTCTGTCTTAAAGAGCTGTTGTTTTTTTTTTCTTTTTTTTTCTTCTTCAAGCATCAATGCTACACTGTAAACCTTCTGACTTTCTATTAGTGCAAAAATAGAAAATGATAGAAAATATTTAGAATTTATGATAATAGTGTCAGACTGACATTTTTAAACTCTGAAACCTTATTATTCACAATAATGATGTTTTCTTTTTTAATAATGATGGAGCTCCAAACTGTCCCTGCTTCAGAAACGACGCTCAAGAGAAAAAGAAAAGTTAACCTTGGTTCACTGTGTTTTCGGGATTTGTTGAGTAAAACTTGTTATTGGTGCACATAAATATAGTTATTATAGTATAAATATAGTTTCTCTTTTCCCTTTTTATTTTCGCTGGTCATATTGGTTTAGGTTGGTGGGCTAATTTTATTCTGAAATGAATTTTCTGCTTCATTTGGTATTATTAATCTTTTATTTTCCACTTGTTCCAGTAAAGGTGTTTTTCTCTCGGTTTCAGGGAAGTCAGCATCAGATGCTCAGAGATCCAGCCCTCATTGCACTGATTCTGAAGATCCAGGTTCCTTCAAAAACAAAGACAGATGTCCAAACTCAGAAAAGAGCAAGTCAACCAGCAAGAAGTCCTCCGACACGGGGGAAGAGGCAGACAAGGACTTTATATTAATATGAGCCACTCACTAAGTCTCAGGCTCCCTTAGATACTGTAGAGCTAACTCTAAGGGGGAAAAAACAAAAACTCATGTGATTCATTTTTAGTCCGAAACAAACCCACAGCTCCTGTTTGACAATAGATTCTACATCAGATTTGGTAGACATGAGTTCTGCTCTTGCAGAATAACAAAGCTTGCAATGCATGACAGATTTTACCTCTCTAGATGCAGCTTGCCTACAAATCAAAACCAAAACTGTGCTTAAACTCATGAGAGCTTCCTGGATTCAATCTGATGCCTGCCAGACTTACTCATCCTCACTTTTCTTACTAACTCTTCAGGGTCTGAGTAGATGAACCATTATGGTCTGGTCTAACTCCTTCAAACCATCAATAATAAATTATCCAACCTAGTCAAGGTTTGGAATCTCTAAAAATAAAGCTTTGCAGTTCCAATTAACAAACATATTTTTGTTACTGCCTGCTGCCGTAGCTTGACGCCCAGGGACCAAACACAATAATCGCCATACCAAGATCACTGTACTTGAAGCCAAATCATATTAGCAAAACAAGGACTCTTTCTGATATATTTTTGATGGATTTTATAAAACTCTGTTTTCAATATGTGCCAGCTGATAACTAGCTGGTTTCGTTATGCAATTTAATTTATTTCTTTTATTTACAGGAACAAGCAGGTTTCAGCTGAGAGACACAAATCAGAGATTTTTTTTGGTTTTGGTTATAAGTGGAACTACTGCAGAGTTAATGTGCACTAAGTAATCCAGACTTACTCTCTGCGTGGAAGCTGGAGGGGCCATATGATGTGTTATTGCTTTGAGAGGACTGTGATACACTTTGACTTTATTAAAAATCAGTATGGCTTCAGCACTGTTCGATAACTGCTCTTTTATATCAAACACTGTGGAAAATATTTTTCCTTTTTATTTATCTTGAAGGGGAGCTTTGAGAATAAATTTCAAGTGCAATAGAGTGAAGTGGTGCCCATCTGAAGCATGTTATTAGGGTAATACTTAAAAAAAAAAAGCATTAAGTGATGTCTGAACATGTCCAGTGACAGCAAGGAACCTACTGTAAAACTGAACTGTTATATAAAAAGGAATTGCAGTAGAAGAAAAAGGTTTGAATTCTTTGTGTGAAAGCAAAACACTGAAGGAACTCCAGTCTTCATTCTGCCTCATTTTACTTCTTTAATTAGACGTTTGGAGAAATGTCTAAAAAAAAAATAACGCACAGCATAAGGCGGCAATCATTCTGCTTGTTTAAAAAGAAGAAACAATAATGCACTGTGGAGTGAAAGCGAACTGTGGGTGGGTGTATATTAACTGTCTAATGCCAACATGGCTCATTGTTCTGTTCTTGTTTTTGTTTTGTTTTTTTCCAAGAACTTCCTGTTTCACATCACTGTAGTGCTAGACTTGTTCTGAAAACTAATTTCTATTAAAAAAGATGATATAAATGACTGAAAGAGTCAGTCAAAACGGAAAACAGTTTACTACTTCATATTTGATTGTTATCTGATATATTTCCATGCGATAAAAAACTGGGTTGTATGTTTTGATTCTGTTCTACATTGTCTATGTAGATCTTTCTCAGCTTTCTGTGACTAAAGTTAAACACTATAAAAGAAAAGAGTGCATCATTGTTGTGAGTAAAAACACATCGAGGAATTATAAGGGCGTATTTCCTGATCACAGCTGTATTGTCATTTCACAGGTCAACAATGTGAACACGGTTGGTTTGTAATCGTGATTCAGATTTTCATTCATTAACAAGAAATGGTATCATAGAAAAGAGTTGAGTAGACATGCTTTATTCTTAATTCCAATATCTAAAAAAAACATGCTTACTTTCAGAAAACATTTGGCTTGATTCATTCCCTGATACTTTGCTTTATCTTTGTTTTGCTGAATAAAAAAAAAACTTATTTATTGTTTCACTCTCTAGATTAATGACGGAACAAGGAGAAAAAACTGTGATTTTTGTCTCATTATCTTGGTTAAGTTTGAATAATTAAATCTAAACTTGATTTATAAAGTAGAAGAAGGTATTAACATTTATTTGGTACGTTTTGCTTTGATTAATCCGTTCTTGACAAGTTTAAAATGTTAAATTTGAACAGGTGAGATTAAAGCTATTCTTAGATTTTAAATGAGAAGTTAATATGGGTTCTGTTTATAAATATACTACAAATATTAGGGAGATCTTGATGGATTTTTTTGTTTTCCTTACTATTTCTGTGGAAAACCCAACAAAAACTGCACATGAAACATTGGATTTTTACATGCAGCTTTGACTGGTGCACCTTCCTTACAATGTGGAGTCTCTCGATGTCCTACGGTGTTCGAGTGGGAGCTTCTCACTCATCATGGTTTACAGATAACACTTTTTTTGCTGTATATAGTCAATCTGTCCTGGATGTATCTAAGTGCATAATCATCCTTTTTATGTCTCTGAGAGGATAAAGAAGCAAAAAATGACAGGATGCTTCTACATTGCATGATGTTTAGATGAAATACATTCACATGTGGCTGTTTTCAGTTGCACATCTTACTTTTTTTTTCCCTGTTGCAACTGAGCTTTTGTTAATGTGATGGAGACGGAAAATATGGTTTTAATTAATCTGCAACATGAGCATCTTGTTCTTTCTGTTGCTGTTCAGTGTAAAAACATGCCAGTACTAGACATGTGCGTCTGTGTCTGACTGCATGATGTGGCTGTTAGCTCTTCTGTATATATGTCATTTCTTACTTTTAGGCCTGTGTGTTTTATATATGTGTAACATAAGCACATGTAACATATTCACACACCTTTGTAAAAACATGAAACCCTCTGTTGTTTTGTTACTAAGTCGCCACTATGCTATTATAAGGGTCTGTTTGTAACTTATTTGAAATAAAATAAATCAAATGATGGCTGATGTTCTTTGTTGATTTTCATATTTTCTGTCATTTTGATTGTTTTAGAAATTAAAACATTTTAACTGGGAATAACTGGTACCAATTGCATGTTTCCTGATTTATTTCACCAAATCAATTACTTATTCTGACTGCATGTTTTTAGTAATAATTGTTTTAGATTTTTTTTTTATAAAGCTATTGAGAGCATTAAAATAATTTTACATGTTTTTGCTAATCTTTTCTTGTGATGGTCACAAAAGGTTTGCATTGCAGTGTCAAAGGGCATCCACTAGGTGGCAGATATGCTCTATTTCACACTCATCCACATGCAGAAAGAGGAGGTGTGGTTCTGTCTTTCTTCTAGTTTGTAGGAAAGAGCATATGACAAGTAGGCTGGCTGAGGAGTGCAGCACAGTTGATCTCTACATTCTTGTTTCTACATACAAAAGTTTGAAGCTGCCCTTTCAGTAAGATGGACAGTACTTTTGACAAATTGGATGCAGCTGGTTTCCTGGAAATCTGGCAACACTTTGATGCAGATGGTGAGAATATTTGATGTTATTTTTTTCATTTGTTTGTTAAACTTTAATGTGAAGCAGTTTTATTCAGATTTTTTTTTTTGGCCATTAGGTTTTAAAGCATTATTAATGCTTTTTGGAAGGTTTGTTATAGATAAAACCATGTTAAATTTTAAAAAATATTTACCAGCAAAATAATTAAAATTTAACATGGGTTTTATCTATAACAAACCTTCCAAAAACCATTAATCATGCTTGTTTCCTTGTTTCAGCAAACTTAATTCAGATGGTTTTTGGTTAAGCCAGTTAATAAGCCATCAGTGGAAATCAGGTGTGCTGAAACAAATTTTAAAAATGCAGAACACTAGCCAAGAAAAACCTTAAACAGCTTGCCTTTTTCAGTCCTAACATTTAGATTTGTGTTCTTATTGTTGTAGATAATGGCTACATTGAGGGCAAAGAGCTGGATGACTTTTTCCTGCATATGATGAAAAGACTGGGTCCACAGGTAAGCAGTTGTGTTTTCTTTTTGTTGTTTTTTTTTTTTTTTTTTGTTAAGAAGTCACAGCATATTAGGGCAAAGACATTAGATGTAGGGATTTTGTGGAGCTTTAATTCTCAGAACTTAATGAGTCACATCTAAAATAGAAGCTTTCACTGAAAATAAATGGGTTAGCACCAATATTGATAGCAACTTAGGTAAAAGTGACTGTTTAGAGATTTTTAGGGGCTTTCATTATGAAACTCCACATTAGATGGTCACATCTGGAGGTGTTTTATTTTTCTTCAGAAATGAAAGTATTCAAAGAAAGCAAAATGTTTTACAGCATTACTGCAATTTACGCCAACTTGGGGATTAAGTGATTCTGTGTCTTGATTTCTGTGGAGCTTTAATTTTGAAATTCTACATCAGATGTGGATGAAACTTTGTGAGTCATGTCTTGATGGGTTTCTACTGTCGTTCTGAAATGGAAGCATTCAAATAAAAGAAATGGTTTAGCAGCAATATTGACAGCACTTAGATCTGGAGATATTCAGTTGTCATTCTGAATTGAAAGCATTTAATGAAATCAGACGGCTTAGTAACAAGATTGACAGTAACTTGGCACAAAAGACAAAAACTGCAGGTTATGAGGGGCTTTAACTCTGAAATTCCATGTGATTTAGTTTGGTTTTGATGATTCACATGGATGAACTCATCTGTAATCTGATAGTAAAAGTAGACATTTAGACAAAAATAAAATTCTAGTCGTATTTAATGAATCTAATGATAGTGAATGAGACTTATATTTTAATATAGTTACTGTCACAAGTGGGGGGGAAAAACACAAAGTGAAATAAATTAACCTAAGGATATAGTGGAGGATCCTTGTTAATTTGTGAAAAGAACCACCCTCTACACTTAAAAAAAAAAAAAAAGCACATGCACAACCGTGTACCCGCTCCCGAGAGGGAACACCTACTTAATGTGTGCGAGAGTGTGCACCAGCCCATTTCTCCTCGTGCACGCTCTGTTTAAAAGTTGCTGTTTGCATCACTCATACAAGCTTATTTTCCGAAGGAAGATGTGCAATTTTTCCACTATGTCAGACTCGCCACCGGTAAGTAAAGATGGGGATGAGCACGTAGGATGGCCTTACGTAAACATATCACCAGAATGATTGACAATTAGGAGGACCACTTATTTTGATGATCCACCTGGAAAAAGAACATCCTCCATCCACCATACCTCTAACTAAATTCAAATATGTGGATAAAAAGGAAAAAATATAGACATACATAACAATGACTGCTCTTATTTTGAAACATAATCTCAGGCACTATGACTGTAATTCTTAGTGTAGGGATGGCTTGACTTTCAATTCCAAAAAGGAAGTTGCCTTGACCGCTGTGGTGATCTCCCGGCTGCGCTGGCAGAAATCTGCGCTCAGTCTCAATGTACCATCAGGGTTGCCAACTCAACGAAAAATACATAAGGGACACTTCTTGGCCAGACATTGCATTCCATTCTACAAACATGATGAATCTTTCCAATTTTTTTTTATGTGTAAAATTATTTTGTAAAAATTTTACATGAACCAGAATTTCATAATCACACAAAGTTTCGATTTAAATATGGGGCAGTCCTCTATTAAGGGTGACATAAGTTAAATACATTTTTGGCATATTTGCATGTAATACTTTGAACCTAACAGCATCATTTGATATTAACAGACTATCTCGTGTGTAAAACTCGGGGAGATACATTGTGTAATCTTACTTAGTCATTTTTCAATGAATATAATCATATCTTCTTGGAGCACAGTCTGAGAAGATGGAGCTTAAGAAAATGTCCTGGAAATGACCCTGAAGCATGCAGAAATATAAACCTCTGCTGTGTGGGCAGCTGGATGGGCGAGGTTTGTTTCATGATGTGGGACAATACATCTAAAGTATCTGGAAAGTATGGAAGAACATCTAAATATGATACAGTTCCAATCTGAGAGAGGAGAAAAGATCCTGCTGAACGTCTTCACTAATGGCACATCCTGTTTACAGAGCAAAGTTAAATGTGGTTATCCATAGTAATGGCCGAGCCCTTTGCCCGACCAGTTTTAATGGAAACTCCAATGAGCATTCATCTACTGCCTGTTCCTTTCAGCGCTCTGAGCAGACTCCCTTGGATACTAATTGGGTTGCTCTAAAACAAACAGATCACCACTTTTATTACTCTGTCTTTCCTGATGTTAGCTTTCTGCCACTAATGCCCTCAGGAGGGATGGGGTTCAATAGATTTCTGTCAAGCTACAAAGACACTTCACAGCCATCCCATCTGCTCTCCCTTCTATTTACTGTAGTGCATCACTTTGATGCCGTTTGTTAGTGGTGTGTCAGCTATTTCCTCCTCTGCAGAATGTTTAGTTCTTTAGCATCCTTTAATTGTTCTTTATTAGTAAAACTCAAAGTTGATTTGGTGTAGAGTGGAAATTATTTTAGCGCTAATGGTGTGTTTAACAGGGCAACATCAACCAAAGAAGTCCATGCAAGGAATAAGCATTTGATCACAGGGAAACAAAATAATCAATTCTTCCTCCTTATGGGCAGTGGTTAACAATTGATTGGTACCAGACATGCCATGGTGACATAATTTCATTTTCCCCAAAAGATCTGATGGAAAACATCCAGAAATACGACATTAAATGGTGAAGGGACAAATTGGGCAGTAGAAGCCTGTTCAACTACGTATTGCTGAACAACGGCATGTGAAACTTTTTAGGTTTGAATGCTTTGTAGTCTGGAATGACCAACTAGATTTTAAGATCGCACTGATGCCTGGCAACAGGTTTAATCTTGACAAACCAAAAGATTTTATTGAAATGTCAGTTAAAAAGACAAAAACATCAATGCTTAACAGATGTGCCTTTCTTTTGTTTCCTTAATGCAGAATCTCAATAGAAACGGATCATGCTTCTATTAACCACTGAGGTGGAGGGTTAAAGGTGGGAGGGAGGCCAATGCTGACTGGGAATCCTTTATTGTTTTTGTCCAAATGTGAAAATAATCTGGTTAAGGTCTGGATATAACGAAAAATATTAAACTTTGTAGATGGTTTGGTGAAGTAGTAATACTGTATCACAGGATGTTTTAAAACTGATTTACTTCATGTACAAGTCAAGTAAACGTTTGGCTGGTTTATCAGATTTTTTTCATGCTGTATTTCTGTAGGTTTGTGTTTCTGCTTTAACATCATCACTGGTCGTTTGTCTCTTGATTCATGACATTCTCTGGCACCTTCTGGTCTGCAGAACGTGTCCTCTGCTCTGAACTAAGTAATGATTCAGGTCTAAACACCACGAAGCTACCTGTTGCCATAGATACAGGAAGGTGACAATTAGGAATCTTGGTTGCTAAGTAGGGTTACATAATTTTAGCACCTGAAAATATATATTTACCTTCACATTTCACTCAACCTCAAGTTAAGATGAGTTCTACAGAAAAAAAATGAAAACTTAGAAAAACATAACATAAAAGAGAGAAAAAACAGACCTTAGTTTGGAGCTGTCATTAACAGTTTTGCATATTTTTGCACCATTTTCTAAATGTTATTAGTTGCTGTTTAATTTTGACTGATGGGGGCAGCAGTCCCTGCAGGTACCTCTGTGGGTTTGAATTCACTGCTGATTGATTAGTAGGAAGTGGAACCCCTGGGATCAACAGATTTCATGGAAGCTAAAGGGAATTCTCTCTGATTTCTCTAGCTGCAGCTTTTCAAGGTTCCTCTGCCATCAGACCCGTTAGATTATGCCTTTTGTTTGCAGATTATCGGCATACTAACACCTCATTAATATCCACATCTGTCTAAACATGCTGACTTGGGCTTTTCATTTGCAGAAAGCTAACTGCTCCGTGAAGAATATCTACAGCCTTTATTAGATATGTAGCAAACTACCAAATCTTAGACATGCTAAAGTCAAGTTCAGCTAATTTCTGTTGAGTTTAAAAAGTAGACATTGAGAGGGGGAAAACAAATGCATTAACTGAGTATGGAGACGTTTCTAAAAATAAGTATGAATAAACCTTTCTATGCTGTCTTCTATTCAAGAGTTCCATTCTCAAAATGAATTTGAAGCAGTTCATTTAAAATCTGTTTTTTGGAGTTAAACAAGTTTAGGAAGCTAAAAGTGATTTTAAATTGCTGTGTTTTTTTCACAGGAGAAAGCCACTGAGGAGAAAGTTCAGAGACTGAAGCAAAGGTTCATGTCTGCCTATGATGTGACTGCTGATGGGAAACTGCAGATTCAAGAGGTATTGTTGCCTTGCATTCACAGCAGTCTCTAAGCAATGATTTAACCAGCAGATATGAAATGGACCGGATTTTGGGCTGATGTCAACGTATCTTTAAATGGCACAAACCACATGTAGATCCAGATCTGTTTAGGCAAATGTTTTTTATTTAGGAGACAAAGTATCAGATGGGGTAAACGGAGAGAAATACTTGGGTCAGATATCAAGAAGTGGTCTTTTTACTGATGATTAGTGAAGTCACATTGCTGGTAGTTGAACATCAGAACATTTCACTAGTATACAGATAATGCTAAAGAGACCTTTTTGTTGAGTCTGTCATAACTCTTTTCATAAGACTTGTGATGTAGCTGCAGTAAAGCCATCATTTAAAAAAAAATTAACTGGGTGGCTTTTCAGAGAGCTTTTAGAATATTTATTTGATTCCAAGATGAATGTATGCATTTTTTTTTCATGCACAATACCACAAGAACTACAGGTATATATCTATTTGCCCTTTGAATAAATCTAAAAATTAAGGAGTTACAGCTTTGACTGCTATCATGCATGCCAACAGAAGATGTATGTCCACCTTGTAGAAACTTTGAAAATTCGTATCTTTTGCATTCCCTTCCACCTATCAAATTATTTTTTGTTAATAATTAAAGTTTTTTTTTTTTTTGAATGTTCTTGCTAAGTTTATTCTACTTTGTTTGATATCTGTTATGAGAATATGTTTTTGGGTTATTTAGTCATGTTCCTTTGTTTTTTGGTTAGTTATGATTAATTTCGGTCAATTATTTTTATAAATAGGCTGACATTAGTAGGACCAGCATGCATCTGGGTGGGCGTATGTTTTAGTTTTTTTTTACCAGCGCAAGAGAAGCACGGAGGAAATGTTTGTCCTTTCTGTTTGCTTGCCTGAGGAGAAATGAACTGAGAAAACTGAACTGAGTTTACCTGGAACATTTTTTGTTTTGCCTACGTAAAAGTCCATGGTGCATCTGTGGCCTTTGTGGATTTCTTTTTTTTTTTTTTTGTGTGTGTGTGTCATCAAAGCTGGGCCACAACAAAGATATAAGACAATATTTACAGTGACCACAAAACAGGCTTAAATCAGAGGTAACCTGACATTTATTTTTTTTTAAAGATTTTGAATCCTATCCCAGAGTCTTTATCAATTCAAACCCAGGAAAGTGAATCAACCACATCAGATCAGTGGACAGAAGCATAAAGTTCGCTAGAGAGGTTGAAGAATGACATCTTGCCCTCTCTGGACTGTGCAGTGCACATTGTGGACAATGGGAGTATTAATACTGAGGTTTACTTTCCATAATCAGAACTCTTGAGTTATGGGGCTGACAAAATTCTTTCAATTGCAGAGAAATGAACAAAACACAAACGCATCACTTGAAGCATGTGGTTGGCCAAATAAAAAAAAAAAAAAAAAAACTAGCAGGAAAAGAAATACTGAATCTAACACATAGGAGAAGAATCAAAACTGATGTATTTCCACAGGTTCCAGGAGTTTCTGAGAAACTCAGAAAGATATTCTCTAAACATGACTAGTGAATTTAAAACCCAGCTACAGAAATGGTTAATCCCAAAGACGGAACGACCAAACCAAAGCTGCGTGGCATTAAATGGTCCAGTGCAGTAAGGACTGATTGGATTCCTATATTGGAGAAAACTAACAACTACACAAACCTATGAAATGGCATAGAAGAGCATGTAAATTAGGGCAAGATTCAGCTGTACACTTGGACCTCATGAATAAAGGACACACCTTCCAGGACCAAAATGTTAAAATTTGAGACAGGGAGAATAGATGGTTTGAAAGGAAGTCAAGATAGAGATTTATATGAAAAAGGGAAAACTGGTCACTAAACAGAGGGGTAGGATTGCGTTTTCAGCTTCCAAGCATCTAAAATGGGCTACATGCCGAACTCCACTATTTCCTGAACTTCAGCCAGCTCCTTTGATTCCTGTCTGTCATTATTGGACAGACTGATTAATCCAGCTGTGTTTGGCCAATCTCCTCATGCTTACTGAGGTCCCACTGAGCTTTAGTATGTAGTGGAGTTGGTGCTTCTGTCCTAGAACTCATCCAAAGATGTTATATAAGTACACTCATCATGATTCAGATGTCCTAACACAAAGTCTATAGACAAGACTCTAACTACCCAGGACGGTGGATTGATTATTCATTTCCATCTGACTTGGAATGTGCTGAAGAAGATGGGGCTCCATGCTGCTTAAATACATCAGAGCTCTATTTACAGATTGCTCTAGTGCTAGCTGGCAGCATTAATTAACAGACTCCTGGATAGGTGTTGAAATGAAATTCTAGTTATTTCAGATTTATGCTTGTTTTGTTTCCATGATCTAATATTTACACAAGCAAAATTTACAGTAATCGGGTTATATTATTGGAATGTTATAAGAATTAGTTGCATTGCACGCCCCAAAGGTTATTTCTTTTTTCTTTTCTTTTTTTAAGGCATATGATAATGAAAGTGTCAGGATTTTTTTTCAACAGTATTGAAGTAATTCTTCAGTATTGACCATGCTTTGGAAAAAAACAGAATAAAGCAGTATATATCATCAATATGATTTTTAAAGCTGCTATTGTATATATTTCTATTACTCTTTGAACTTCTTCTATGTAACTTCAGTGTCCTCAAAACACTACTGCTCAGTTTTACTTAAACTTAACACATTTAAAGCTTGCTTGCCTTATGACCGCTTCCTCTTTACTCTTGAGCATTGTAGATTGTCATGAGCCCTCAGTCTCTCTCTGATGAACTTCCTCTTTTTATGACCAATTTTCTCTCTGTTGTCACTTTTATTTATTGCATCTATCACAAGATATCTTTGCACCATTTCTTATTTTATTCAACCGCAAAACATACTCTAGGAATGTTTTGGGCCATTCAGGTCAATTATGCCACTGTCCACATCTCCATGTACTGTATTCTCCAACCAGTGGCTCTGAAAATTCAAAGAAAAGGACCCTTCAATCCTACCACACTTAGTCCAAGATCCCCTGGTCTGCTCCAGGGAAATAAAATGTATTATTTTTTCTTCAGGAAAGAAAGGATTCATTGGATCACTGCTGGGATCAAATACATCTGCAGACCCAAAGGCTTCGACTTCCTCTAATAGTGAAAGAAGAAAATCAATAAGCCTCTTCCATTAGTGGCCTGTTGCAGGCGGTGATTTACTGTGGCTGATGCAGGAGCATTGAGTTTAACATGGTGGACCCCTGTCTATCAGAGATATATATTTAGAATTGGTTTTAAGATAAAAATGTCAGTTCCTTCCAAGAACCAGCTCTAACAAAATGCAGCTGTAACTGCTCACAATGTTTAACAGGAAATAAGCTCTATATTTTATAGTATTACTGAATTGATTAAGAGGAATCAAGAACCTCTTAAGTTTGTTTTTTTTACATTAACATCTTTTTCGCCTTGGTCAAGTTGTTCTATATTCAACTTTACCATTATTTCCAGAGCTATAATTTTCTACATTCATATATATGAGAACTCTAGAGCTTTAACAAAGTTGGTTTCCTCAAAAACCTGCTGTGCAAATCTTAAATTTCTTCTGCTTTCTGGTGAAAGACCCGAGCCACAGATGGAAACCTTACATGAAATCATTAAATTAACTGAAAGTGTCAATCTTTGTTAGTGTTTCCTTAGAATTACTATCTATAACTACATGGGAGCAGGTCTCGCATTTATGAAGGCAGATATCTTTGCTCTATGGCAGCCCAGAGCTAACAAACCAGTGACTGTAGAGATCCTTACACTCTTCCTTGTCTGATAATACTCCTGCCACAGTCAAAACTTGAAATCTGCAAATGCAGAATATATATGCCTCCAACCAACACAATCTCGCTATCAAACAAAATTACTGCAAATACTGATCACTATGCTATGCTGCTCTCTAAAACATTATGGCGATGCAGAGAAGATAACAACTTTATTCTTCTATCTTAGGCCTATATAAAATCTATATCCGACACCATTTATAAAGTTATCTGTGTAAACAAACCTCATCATCTCCTGACAGGAAAAGTGATGCCGACGTTGTCAAAGCCATTGTGTACTGTGACAGACGGCCTTCATATTATTGTAGGGGGAGAGGCGGTGGGGCAGAGCAGTTATGGCACTGCAGTCGGGTCATTGCACATCACTGAAAATTACACACTGTAGCTTTAAAGGGTTAATATAATCTTGGTCATAAGGTCAATCAGTTGAAAGCAATGTCAGTATCTATCATAGGTTGCATGTTGCACCCTTAATCTATCCAGTGTGGCTCCAATCCTTTGGGTTGGTTGGTTCTAATAAAACATGAACCATTTTGATGTTTTTACTCTTGTGTGGTTTTAGTCATGTTCGGGAAAACCGATATAAAGAGGCTATTTTCCATTAAAAAAAGTTTTATGCTCCTTATGCATCAATTCATATCCATCTTGGGGAATTTCAAACCTGCTCTAAATTAATCCACTGTTCTACAGTCTGTTGCTGCCCCTTAAATCCATCATTATAGAGACTTTTATTCGCTTCAGTCATGGATCCCAAGGTCTATTTTGAGAGTCGATTTGACTCAATCACAAGAAAAAGGAGCCACTGTTAATAGAAAAAGGACGTAATAACAAATCTTTGGAGAATATACACTTTAATTTTATGCAGGAATGTACAAATGTTTTTCTTTGCATAACTGATCAAAATACTTATGGGTGAGAAAAAATGAGTACGAATGACCATCTGAAATTTTCAGTTTTCTTACAGCAGACCTCAGTATATTTATGTACTTTCATTGTTTGCGAAAGCAAGAACAAAATCCTCAGAAATATTGTGTTGTTGGTATTAAACTTCTTACGGTTGATCTAACTTCTTAGACGGTTGATTTTTGTATTTGAACACTCAGCCCGCCTCCAGAGTAACAAAGCAATGACACTGCAAATATAAGGTTGAGCATGGAAATGAATTCCGACAGCATTTTGAACAAAAGGAAGTCAGTGTTTAACCATAAACTGTGCAGCATGAAGTTTTATTAGTTTCATATCCCAGCTGATAATGTCCTTAAATATTACCAATAAAGCTCAAAAGCAACCTCCAAAGCTTCTGAAGTAGTTCTAACATCAACTTTCAAATTACTAATTTTTGATCTGGTAATAGGAACAATTATCATAAACTGGATGTTTAGACCGTTAGGGAGCTGCAGTTCTTAACATTCAGTCTTACACAATTTGCTGTTTGTGCAGCAATTTTTTTTTAGCTAACTTCTGCAGAGATGCATCTTTAAGCTGTATTTTTTTTTAGCTCAAGTGTTGTCTGTGCTTGCAAAATGTTTTATAGTCTAGAATGTGTGTAATAAGTTGTTTTTACAGATGCATGGAGGCTAAAAAGGAAGTCAGCAGTTTTTATCAGCAAGCCACAAGATCCTGTGTTATAGCTGCATGTACCGCTGGTAAACATACAGCATCTGTTCATTTCACAGAAGCAGAACTAAACAAATAGCTGCAACAGTCCCTTACCGAAAAGGAAAATCTAGCATATTAGCCTAAAACAATTAAACATTGACCACTCAAGCCAAAAGGCACCACACTGTGAAGTCAAACAACAGAAAGTCCCCTTTGAAATCATTTCCTGGTTTATACTTAATATTAAGTTTTATATACAAAAACCAACCTTTTATTAATTTTTTTTTGTTAAAAGTTCATAAATTCATATAGTAAAGTGTTTGTAAAGTATCTGATGCCCAGACGTAAAAACCCATAGGGACTGGGATTCTGCGGGAAGCAACAACCTTGGTGCATTGTCCTTCTGATGAGCTGCACTCTTTTTATTACTGTTGCCATGTGGGACAGTTTAATCTGCTAATGTAGAGCTGAGGTTCAGATGCCAACCAGTCTCAATAAGAACTGGAGTAAAGCCAGAGGAGCTGGTGCAGAGGTCCTAAATCATCGTATTGATGTTCTGCTAAGTCAATTGATTTTATTAGGGGTTTTTTTCTTGTTCTGATCCTTAGTTTTTTCCCATCTTTCTCAATTTTGTGAAGTGTAATTCATTCTGCACAATGCCCCACTTATTTAGAAGAAATGGTAGCTTAAAGGAGTTACAGTGCTTCAAGACGCTCCTGATCTACCAACACTAAAAGATCAAAATGAAGTTGGGGTTTTTACAAAAAATTTCTGATTGTTAAACCCGATAATGGTAACACATTTTCACTAAGATCATTGGTTTTTCTTTTCTTCCAGTTAGCCAACATGATTCTGCCTGAAGAAGAAAACTTCTTGTTAATTTTCCGAAGAGAAGCTCCACTTGACAACAGTGTTGATTTTATGAAGGTAAAGATGCACACAAAGAAATGATGGAAAATAATAATAATTAGCTGATGCATCAATAAACAGTGAGATGCGTTTGATTAGTTTTCTAGTCTGGTTACTTCCTCTGGTTTATTTAGATATAGAAATCTTTTCCTCAAAACCGACTTCTATGCCTTGATGACATCTTATCTAGATTAGTTCTTGTTCTAAATTCCTTTTTGAACAATTTTTCAATAAAAAATGTTATTCTTATAAAAGAGCAGAGATGCATAAAACCAAACTGGTGAATAAAAAGGCAGCTCTGACTCCTTCCTTTTTATTCCCTACTGTAATTTTTAACTCTACGTGGCCATTCCTTATTTTACCAAAGCGGTTATGATTTTGATGTCTATTCAGAATTTAATTTTCTTTGTATTTGTATGTTTTAAAAACATAAAATGACCTTGTGTTAGCTGTGACTTATAAAGGCAGTAACTTTAAATTTTATGAAAAATCAGAAACTAAAAAAACTATCAATAAAACTGTCATTGAGTTGGAGGCGTTTTCTTTCTGCTGGTAGGTTGTCACCTAATTCAGTAGAATCTGCTCAATGCTAGCTTTACAGAGAGTTAAACCCTGATCAATCCACAGAAAACGTGACTGCACTGCCCATTGAAAACGGATGTTCTTAGCATTAAGTAGAAATCTAAAAAGGTTTATCTTTCAATCCTTTTCTGTTTCACTCATATCTGTGTGGCCTTCATCTTAAAAGATGTGAGCTTCTTTCTACCCACTACAGTATACATCACTTTAAAACTCTAAGCAGGACTTTATAATCGGATATAAAAATCAATTGGCCTTTATCCTTATTGTATCTTGTCTGCTTAAATAGTTTGTAACATTCATATCTTACTCCTGAGGAGTCTGATGTATTAATAGAAAACCTATGGAATAGAACGGGCAGGATTTAAAAATGAGACTCAAGATATTTATGGATGACAACAATGTTCAAGTCATTTTGTAGTGAATAAAGGTCAACTTTGTCTTATTTTACTTTTGTAATGCTCAGATTTACAAATTAGGTTTGGTACCAAAAACATACAACCATAAATGATCAATTTATGGTGAAGTTCAATAGGTTGACCTTTTTGACAAACAAAAGATAACTTTGTTGAACTGATTGTTCCATCGATCAAATTATAAACTTAAAAAGAAAGAGGATAAATCTATATTTTTTTTTTTTTTTTTTAAATGACCTGATCCGTCCTGGTGAACCCACTGTAGATATGGAGAAAGTATGACATGGACTGCAGCGGCTTCATATCGGCACAGGAGTTGAAGGTGATCTTTTATAAGAAACAAGCTCATTCAAAAAAAATTATAAACATTTATGATATAAGAAATGTACATGTTAAAGGGGACATCATGCAAAATCCACTTTTTTAGCCATAAGATACATTTCACTGTTAGACTAGTGTCTCTTAAACTGGCAATGGAGACAGATGATGTGTAGCAGGTTTAACTCTACTCATTAATCTGGGACCGCTCCCATCATATCTGAGGAAAGGAGATTCAGTATAACCTTTTAAGGCTGATGGGTTATTGCGACACCATGTGACTGCATGCCAAAGTTTGCTTTTAGCCAGTCACACAGTAGGAAATGAAACTGCATCAGACCCAACTTTGTTTTTATGCTCTTGCTTCCTTTTTCAAAGCTGAAATCATTGATTATGATTAAACGGATGTGATGCCAGCAGCTCTGCGTATGTCCTCATGAGCTGCCGTGTCTATTTTGGTTCTGTTTTTGGGCTTGGCAGCTGTTGCTTTTATCAAGCTGATAGTTCGTGCTTCAAACCATTATAGTGTTGCATAATTGGTCAACCAGTCTTGGTTGGACTCAAACAATTTAAGCTGGAGCAGTACAAGATTGATTCTCAAGGTACTCAAGGTACACTCCCTGCGTGTTTTCAATGTCAGCTTTCACACACCTGATATCAATGATAGCAGTGTACAGGCTTTGCTGAACTGCAATCGTCTGAATCAGATGTATCGAAGCAGAGAAACATCTAAAACAGGGATGGGCAACCATGAGTGTCCTGACACTCTTAGATATGTCCCCGCGCCAATGTATCTCAATTAGATGATGAAACTACTGCCATGACCCTGCATGCTGAGGATGTGATAAAGACCATTTAAATCAGGTGTTCTGGTCAAAGGACACATCAGCTTGCAGAACTACGCACCTGAGGACTGGAATCGACTAAACATGATCTGAAACCTGCGGGATTGTGCCTTAAAGACCAGGTTGATCTGCGTTAAAGATCAGCTTTTCTGCTCTAGTACTGCAGAAAAGCTGAATTTAGTCTCTTCAGGTGCTGTGCAGGCATCTTTATAGATAGATAGATAGATAGATAGATAGATAGATAGATAGATAGATAGATAGATAGATAGATAGATAGATAGATAGATAAACTTTATTCCGGACTCATGGTCCAATAAATACATACATAAAAATAAAATAAAACTAGTTAATGATAAAAACACAATACAAGTACCATTATCGATTAAATAGGATCTTTAAGAAGACAGGAATACCAGTGTCTCCACAGCTTAGACTGATATCGGATTGCACTACGTGTGGTATCAGTAAGTGACAAAATAATATCGTTTTCAGATGCATTTAACCTACAAATAAACTTATACATTAACTTTTTATAATTAGTTTTGGTCATATTTTTCAATTAGTTCAGTTTTCTTTGTTGCTGTTTTTCTTTGAACAATGTCACAGTTTTGCTACAGAACGGCTAAACAAGGTCATGGATCTCTGCTTATCAATTTCATAAATCCACCATCTTAATTTCTGACAGATTTTCTTTAAAAATCTATGCTTAAGGATGCCAAAGATGCATAAGTCAAAATGTAAATCGGCAAGAGCAAAAACTATACTGTAGTTACTTGGTATGGGTTGAGAGGTTGTAGATACAGTAATAACCCATTATTGATGCACTCATTGGAAGGCATGATTCTGCATTTTCTTCATTTTCTGACACAAGGCTCAATGGACTTCTTTTGTTGACATTTTAGCTAGAAAACTGCAACACAGCCATTGCAGTGCCTCATTTGCATATAATGAGACCACACCGCCTGTAGATCAACAATAACAAGACCAAACCCAAGCATTACAGTTCCATTTTATCTACACCACAACTTTAAATTTGAAAATAAAAGGCATGACATGTCCCCTTTAAGAAAAAAAAAAAAAAAATCTTACTGTATTCAATTCCAGAGTTTGCAAAATGGTAATGGGCAAATATTTCCCACATCATGTCTAAACAGGATTGCATGCTTAGGTTAGCGTCTTCATTGACTTGTGGATTTTTATTTCTAATTTCTTTCAACATTCTTGTTAAAGATTCATATTTGAATTTGTGACTAATATACTTACTGAATTTTAGGTCAAATGGGGAAAAGAAAGGATATGCATGAGAACTACTGCTTTTCATCAGTAACTTTCTTTTTGCTGTCGTATTTACTTTTTTTTTTTACTCTCCCAGGCTTTCTTAAATGATTTATTTCAGCAACACCACAAACAAGTGTCCCCTGTCAAACTGGAGGAATACACAGACACAATGGTAAATGAAACACTCTTGCATTTATAAAGAATCAGTCTGTGAAATGTATTCAAAGCTCTAATATACAGTTTATCATGCAAATATTATCAGTGTTTCTTTGTTTTTAATCAATTTAAATATATTGATTTATTTGACAGGGACAGTGTACATTAAAAAGCATTCCTGCAATGCACCAGAATTAGCCAAAAGGCTATTTTTCATCTGTCCCTGGACAGATCTTAAAATTGTCTTCCTAAAAAAACACAACAGTAGGCATTTTACAATGAAAAATATAAATATAAAAAGAAAAACAGCTATAACTCTTCAAAACTGATTTAAAAATACAGAATAAGTGTTCGTTGGACTACAGATTTTGGGTATAATGAGAATTTAATGTGTATTTTCTAAGCTGAATGGATTCTCATGGATGAAAATAAAAATTTTTCCAATAAACTTTAAATTCATATCCTCCTGTGTTCAGGTTTATATCTTTAAAAGAGTATTTTGCATACAGTATACAGAGATGTACTAAAATATTTTTTTACTTTTGTAAATTAAAATTTAAATAGATTTGAAAACTGAGCCAATTTTGTTTGCCATAATAGCAAGGTCTATTGACCGTGAAAGATCTTGAATTATATTTTATATATAATATAATTATATATTGACATATATTATTTTATATATAATGTTATTTCTTTGCAGATGAAAATGTTTGACAAAAACAAGGATGGTCGTTTGGATCTGAATGATTTAGCCAGGTATGTTTTAGTGCTAACAGTTCAAGTGAAGTCAAACAACAGAAGTGCTTCTTCAAGGTTTCTCATGTTAAATTATTTAACAGTTAAAATCAGCTCAATTAAAACTTGGTTTTATATTAAAGGATCTTAGCTTTGGAAGAGAACTTCCTGCTCCAGTTCCGGATGGATGTAAGTAAAATATTCTATTTTGAAAACAAAATAAAAAGAGAATAAACCTACATTTACATTTATCAAATCTAGTATTTCTGTTATTTAATACAAATACCTTATTTTCTTCAAGGCAAACAGCAAAGAGGAGAGGAAGAGAGACTTTGAGAAGATCTTTGACCATTATGATGTTGTAAGTTGTTTAAGAAATTGGTTGAAACATGCACTGAAAAAAATAATGCAACCGTTTTTGGCACTTTAACACAATTGTTTCATGTTAGCAGGGTAGGACATAAAACAATTGTGTTAAAGTAACTAAATATGAATATTTAAATGCCAAAAGCGGTTGCATTATTTATTTGAGTGTAACTACTAAAACAGTAACCTCATTTCATCATGTATTGGTAATAGAGTACAACTAATGTTGCATAGTAAAATGTTGGCTGAAGACAACTTTACCCCTTTAAAGGGATTTGATTCTAGTGTTTAACTTAATTGACACAAAGTTTCTCTTTTATATCAGTTTCTGCTAAAGATTGCTGGTACTGCAGCAAAAAGTGTCTAAGTCATGTTTATTCAGAGCTAAAGGCATTGCAACAGATTTAGCCCTTTTATTATGAGGAGGTTATAGTTATATTTTTCTTTTAGGTTTCTTTTAGGTTTTTATTTTTTATTATCTTATTCTCACACATTTAAACTTAACAGAACTTGTACATTTACAATTTAGTAGTGTTGGTTTTCCTTTTCAACCCTTTGCCATTATTTTTCCAGATACCGGTAATAGTTTCTGAAAACATGTTAATCCTTTTTTTTTGCATGTTTTTCTTGTTTATGTAATTTTTAGACTGATTATTTTTTGCATTGACATCTGATTTCTTTTTATGCGTTAACCTCTTAGAAATATATAAACTGAGGAAAACTATTAACAGTTTGTAGATTAACACATTCTAAAGCGTGTCTTATGTTCATTGTGCTTGTCATAGAGACACAATTTGCTTTTTTTGCTTGGAGAAAAATGCTTTGTGATTACAGATTGCTATGAGGAATTGTTGGATCAGTAGTGGTAAATACAAATGGTTATGAACACAAAACCGATTAATTTAAAACCTTAATCCATAATATTGACAGCAGTTTAGAATTAAACAGCCTAAGGAAGAGAGCTGCAGCTGTAACGATCAGGACAGAGGGCCCAGAATTGAACCAGAGACAATGCAAAGTTAAAAGGTTTATTCAGGCCAAGAATGCCGAGACAAAGCCCATGGATCTGGAACCTCTGGGGATGAAAAGCTGGTTGAGGTGAGCTTTGATGATGATGATGAGTAAAGCCACTTACCTTATTTTGGGGTTGAGGAGAAACTTTGAGAATATCTGAAGAAGCCGGTCACCGGTGAACCTATGAGGACTCCTGAATCTGTCCTGCTAGGTTTGGAGAAATCTTTCTTTGACGGTTACTCGTTGGTCCAGCGGAATGCAAAGGGTCAGACCCATGAGAGCAGAGACAGGCAGAATGGTCAAGGGGACTAACCGGAGTACGGAACCAGAGAGCTGGTCCAGAGTCAAAGCCAGGTGACGGAGATCGGAGATCCAGTGAGAATCTAGGGGAGAATCCAGGAGCGAGGTCAGGGCACAGAAAACGGGTCAGAGATCCAAAAACACACTATGATAGGGCTGATAGCGTTCAGGCAGACTAAGAGAATCAGGAGGTAGAATCAGGAAGACAGATGGGTAACGTCAATACTTGATAAAACTCATCAGTGGCTCATAATAATCTGGCATTGACTGCTGAATATAAACACTGGAAGACAGGTGAATGGTATGATGCTGATTGAGTAGCACTGAACAGGTGAAGCACATAAGCTTTATTGCTGACACAGCAGAGGGTGAAAACAGCCGGCAGACTGACCAGAATCATAACAGTAGCAGTCAGGTGTTTATTAATGTTGCATTGCCATTTTACTGGAGTAAGAAATCCAATATTCCAACATGCTATCAAATATCGGTGAGTTGGCAGTGTGTATTCTTTTCATGGGTTTTTCTATGTTGCTCTGCTTTGTTCTGCCTCTACTTATTCTTGCTCTGTGATTGTTTATCTTAAAGAGTAAGACCGGAGCCTTGGAGGGACCTGAAGTGGATGGGTTTGTCAAAGACATGATGGAGCTTGTCTGGGTAGGTATCCCTATCATCCGCTTTCCTATGTAACAAAAATTTAAGTACAGTGGTATAAATATTACCATATCAGAACAGTATTACTTAAGTTCACTTAGTAAATAATTGCTAAATAAATACCAGTTCAAATAAAGTTTCCGGAGACGTTTTCGATAATTTTGGGGGTTTTTTTCTCATTCTAATCTATGATCCATTCTCCCATCTTGACAACTCGAGGTCTGGTTCTGGGGTTATCAGCTCTACAATACAAAGAGACATTTTCATTTTTATTATGTATGGAATTTGTCCAGAGCCAAAACAATAATCTAAAGCTTTGGAAAAGGATGGCTTATCGAATTCTATACCTCCTATGTGAAGATTTTTTTTCTCCCATTCCTGTGTTGATTTAAAAAAAAAATCCTGTAGACATTTTATAAGTTCAGAAACTATACTTATGTCTAAGTGGAAAATATATAAATGTGAAAAAAATATGTAATATAATCTCATGGTATATTGAGCAGCCCCCCCCATGGTATATTGAAAGCCCCCCCCCTTTCGTGGGACTTCAGCTTTCTAGAGTAAAGAGGTTTTTATGTTGACGAAAAGACTTAGTGCTACATATCTTTTCATTAGTTTGTTTTTTACTTTCTTAGTTAAATCAGGAATCGTGGTTTCATTGCCCAACTTTAAAGCTGTCTCTTTTTTTAAGACCAAATATTACACTGTCAATTTCAAACATTTCTTCAGATTGTTTGTGCTTCAGACATGATGACTGAAACCGTAGATTATTTCCTATTAAGTTTACCTTTAGTCAGTCAAAATTATCTCCTCTTAGTCGAACTAAAAGCAGAAAGCTCCAGACATTGGTGGTTATAGAATGCTTATGTTTAATATTTTAAGCATGTCCAGTGGTTTACTGTAGATCACAAGCTTCTTACTCAACAAGTTAAATTACTTTCAGTTGATGCTTTCTTTTGAAATAGCTTCTGTTCTAAAACAGACTGGATTTTTTAACCATGTCCAGCTTTTATGTAGCGTTTAACAGGGTAAAAGCAACTATGTATCACTTGAAACTTTCTGTAAAACATTCATTTTTTTAAATTTCCCACTTAATAATTAATGCACTTCTTGTGTTATTTGTCCGTATAGCCAAACATATCAGGCCCTGATCTTGACAAGCTGCGAGCCTCTCTATTGCGTCACTGTGATGTCAACAAGGATGGGAAGATCCAGAAAAATGAGTTAGCTCTATGTCTGGGAGTGAAAACCTTAAAGAAACCTTAGGCCCTTTCTTCTTAAAGTACTGACCTTAAAATTGATGTCAGCATTGATATCTGTATCTAGTTACTTTCTATCATATCACCTTCTACCTAATCCTTGAAAGAAAAATTCAAAGATTAGGTAAAACGTTTGGATTGTGTCTCCTGAATTGATATGCGTTTCCTGCACATAATTTTAAGCCAAAAGTAAAAGGCTAATTTATGCTGGTATATAATGTTTGCTTTATGTGAAATGTTAGTTTGTGTGCTGGTCAACAAAGTGAAGGTGTCTCTTAAGGTTAAATTACAATTGCATGTTTCTGTGTAAATGTAATAAAATGTAATATGCAGTAAGGAGATGAAAATAAAATAAACAAAAGCATGTGATTGCATAGTGATATATATTTGTGGTTTGTTCTTGTGTATTTGACATGGATTTAAAAGTGGCGACAAAAAACAACCCTTCAATGTTTCTTGTGAGGTCAAGTTAATATTAAAGATGCCTTGAGAAAAATACAAATCTTTGAGTGTCTATGTCATAACGTAAAACTAAAGCCAAATCTATGGAGGACCTGGACCTCTTTAAAGGAGTTGCATCCTGATCTTGTTAATCACCTGTGTTGATTAAGCTTTTACAACGCTCCCTTAAGGAAGCCATGTTAGCAAGACAAAGATGTAGACTGTAGTGGCAGCTGCTAACGTATAGATATCATTTAATGCAGCTGAGTACTGTGATACATGCACAAGTCATAATCTTGTCATTAAGCGGTTATTACTTGTCAAGTACCATGTTGGCTTGACTAAAGGAGTTAACGTCTAAGATGGTGGCAGGCCTTAGCGTTAAATTGTGTTGAAAGCTTCCTTGTAAATCTACTTTCTCTGTGAGATGCTTAATCAATAAAAAACTCAAAATATACAGTACTGACCAAAAGTTTGGACACACCTTCTTAATCAAAGAGTTTTCTTTATTTTCATGACTATGAAAATTTAAGATTCACAAATCATTGGTCTGTACTGGACATTTACAGTATGATGCCCCAGGCGCATCTTAATTTTTTTCTTAACAGCATGTAGAGAGGTTGTTTACTGCACAGCAGCTGCCATCCAATGCTATGATGTACCTAGCATGTGTTGAGATGCAATTTCTACATGTTCTTAAAATGTATATTTAAAATGTAGATTTTTGATCTCATATGTATTTCCATATCATTTTTCTCTATTTTCTGATGCTGAGGACAGCAAATTCAGAGCTTACCAGAAGTGCTTAGACAAAACGGAAATGCCACTGGTAACACGGTGCTCCTACACCTAATTAATTTGCTGTAATCATTCCAAGTGAATAATTCTGCTCTCTACTGCAGATTAAATGAGCTCAAGTGAAGCTGGATTAAAAAAATGATCCTAATAATGTCAGTTTGTCTTCCTCTAAATCGCTCGGCAAGAAAGGTTTTGCAGCAGCCTAGTTAACCTCCTGAGACCCCAGCTTCTATTTGTTTGTTTTTTATTTCCAAGTTACATGTGATCTGTAGCACCTAATAAGTTTAATAACTAAAGTCTGTCATGATGCCACAAGTAGTTTAAAAAAATATGTCCTTATATGAGGACATTTACATTATCTTTGTATTTTATTTAATTTTTTTGCAATTTGGGACTAGAAGATCCCAATTACCATATACACAAAATTTCAGCCTTTTACTGTTAAAAAATTATAAACGGTGAGTTTGAAGTGCTTGTTAATGATACAGCTGTACTTTAACGCTGTATAATAGGCCATTTCCCAAGTTTAAATGTGACAACAAACTGGGTGGAAATCATTTCAGCTAATAAAAGGGTCCTAATGGTGCAGAGCTAAATACTCTCTTTATCTCTGAGTCTAAACAGCCATGCACTGCAGTGTGCTGTGATGGTTTCCATCCCTTCATTCATTTCAAATAAACAGACATTTTGCACCACAAATAGTTTGAATGTATTGTTACTTTACAGGACTGTATACAGGATGTTACTTTCCCAGACTGTTATTGGCTTATGATTGTTTGTGTGGGGGAGGGGAAGCTGGGAAACAGGCAGCTGCTGCAGAGCAAACACTGAGCTCAGTCGGTGTTATAATTTTTTTTATTGGACTGGAGTAAAGTGTTGATTGATGAACATCAAGCTTAAAGCATTAAATGATTCAGAATTCTCAGAGCTGTACTGTTTTTCTCAATTCAAATATGTATTTGAATAGACTAAAAGGCCAAAGCTGCACATACATCTCCATATTTTCAGGAGTTGCATTCAGTATTAAACACCAGTCAAGTTAATGCCTCAAATGGAAGAATAAAGAATCTAGATTTTTTTTGTGTGTCTTTTTAAATCCTAAATAATGCTGCCACCTAGTGACAAAACTGCAACCTTGTAGCCTTTGAAACGGTGCGACCTATAGAACATTTGTATATAAAAAAAAAAAAAAACTTTTTATCATATGAAAACTCTACTTTATGCTTCTGGGACATAAAACAAGAACGGCTGGAATAAATCACTCATGTTTGAAGCATTAGAATGGTTTTTACTTTTTTACTCGTATTCATTTCCTAAAGTTTAATTGTGCAGTCCTAACTTGATAAAATGTAAAATAGTTAAAGATACTAATTTTTGCAAAGCCCTATGTGGTGTCAATTGTATAGTTCCTGTAAAAACAGCAATGAAACAAAGCACAAAATGCCCTGTAGCATTTGTGCTGCATGGATTAAAAACAGCTATAAGCTTGATACCAAATGTTGCTTGTATGAACGTTAATTAGCCCAAACAAAATGCATCAAAACAAATTATTTAAGGTCATGCTCTGCCAGTAATATACATAAACATCCTGCAGATAGATCAATAGCTTGCTATGTGGCACCATATGCTTTTTGATTGACAGCAATTGTTGGTACCAGGATCTTTAGAGATGAGTTAGCTCATCTCTAAAGATCTCTCTTTTTTCTCTCTAAAGGTTTCTTTAGAGAGAAAAAAAAAATACCTTTTTAGTTGTTTTTTTTTTTGTCATTCTCTGTGATTAAATAACAAATAGCTTTAAACTGTGATCAAATGAATCTCCTTTTGGCTGGGTTACAGTATATACAATATATGGATCTGCTTGGTCACCGGTTTTAATGCCCCTTAACTTTATATTTTCAACCAAAAAAGAAAAACCTTGCAAAAACATATAGAATCTATTCAGATTCTGTGACTTTTTATGGGGCTTATGTTCTTATTGATGGACAGTCCTCATAATTCATTTCAGGCTGTGTAATGGGGCCTTAGTGGCTCTGAGTTTATCCATCCAATTAGTCAATCTGCCATCCAGGATAAGTCTCTTGCATATTTTTCTGTTTTTATCTGGTGTTGTCACAATTAGATAAATTAGATGATCAAATAAATAATACCATGCAAAGATAAATAAGTTTCTCAAGCTATCAAAATCAACGTCAACCATAAGCAAAATGCTCACCTCTCAACCAATCTGTTTATTTGATTGCTGACTTTATTAAACTTCGCAAGCCAAAATACGATGAGCACCAACAGGTTCTAAAGCGAAGGTTTGATATGACCTGGTCAATATTGAGACTAAAACGTGACTGAGATGCTGCGCATTGACCTTAAACCTGCTTATAACTCCCTAGTGAGGCTTAAATAAATCAATACTGGGAAAAGGATTGGGCAACATTTCCTCCACACTGATGTAAGCGAGTCATTAGGGGCTTATACACACAAATTAACCAGTTATTAGATAAAGTAACTTTTTCCACATATGGCCTGGCTGGCTTTGATAGGTTCTCTCACTACCCTCAATGAACGGAATCATTGTTTTCAAAAACTGCTTTTTCTTTTATTCAGATAATTTTTTCCTGATATTGAAATTGATTTTATGATCTTAAGATTTTAGATCATAGATCAAATAGGAAAAACGAAATAAAATCAGTAAAGGGCCAAATGCTTTTTACACCATATTACTGTTATTGATTTGACTATAAATCAAATAGCACAGACCGCTGGTTGTTTATAAACTACTATTGTACCCGAAGTTTGCCCAGGAACCAATATCAGATATGAGAGAGACTCATTTTCACCTTAAATGAATATATGTTAGAGTTGATGTGTTAAAAAATGGTGGAGAAATGCCTTTGTCTGAAAGGTCTACTGCAACCCAGTCACTGACGACAAAAAAAAAAGATAAAAATAAAAGCATGATATAATTTCTTTTTGTCATTTTACCCTTTACTTGGTTTGTTTAGGGCTTGGGGGAAAAAACAGTAGTCTTGGAAAAAGAACATGGATTTTTTTTAAAGAAATTCCAAATACATCATGAAGATATCATGAGACTAAATCTACTGGTGAATGGGTCACTAAACACTAGAAACACAACACTAAATTCAGTTTAGTTCATTTATATAGCAGAATCTCACAACAAATGTCTTAGGATACTTCAGCAATCAGTTCAGTCCGATAAAGCAGACAATTGTGCAAATTTTTATCCTGTGCAGCAGTAGTTATTTTTGCATGTAAGTCAATGGTTTTTACTTCAATTGCTTAAACTTTATCCAAGGAAACCCAGCCAACTGCACCAGTTGTAAGCTTTGCAACAGTTACTTAGGTATAAATCTTTAGCAGAACTTGGCACAGTGTGTTGGCCTTGTACCATGACTAACTGGCAGTAACACCACCATGACTTTTACCATCTTGTCGATCAACACCAAGTATACAACTGCGGTTGTACTTCTATAATGGTCCTTTCGTTGAGATGCAACTAAAACCATTTTTGTTCCTGGGAAGATTGTTTATCAGGCATGTATATTGACATAGGTATAGTAACAATAGGACTGAAGTTTATATTTTCTTCAAAAATCTGCCTTTTGATTTACAAGACTGTCAACTAGAGTTTACAGACGATGTGCCACAGCTGCAGTTAGTTTACACTGCCAATGTTTAATTTCCTTTATCCTTCCCAAATATTGTTACTCTGTAGAACTTTTCGCTGCATTTACTCCTTCTCTGTCATTTTTATTATGTTCATTGAGCTTGATGAAAACATCAGGGTATTGCTTTTGTTGTAAAATATGAAAGATGTACACAATCAAAGATTTAGAATGGGATGAGATTCTGACATTTTATTCAGTGTATCAGGGAATAGTTACTATGCAGAATTATATGAAAACAACAAAAAAATTCCCAACTGAGAAAAGTGAAAAATGTTAGAGTTATGACTTTGATTGGTGCATTTATTTATAGGATTTCAAGTTTTAATAAATTCTATCTGCACCCATATACAGGTGCTGGTCATAAAATTAGAATATCATGAAAAAGTAGATTGATTTCAGTAATTCCATTTAAAAAGTGAAACTTGTATATTATATTCATACATTACATACAAACTCATATATTTCAGATGTTTATTTTGTTTAATTTTGATGATTACAAATGACAACA